GCTGGGTAACCATCCTTGTCCTCTCCTTGCCTCCCGAGCTCGCGGATCTAGTTCCCAAGTTGGGGATAGAGAGTTCAGCGGAGAGCTCTGAGCTGGGCTGGAGCCGACTGGGAAGTCTGTGATCCGGAGCAAATTTGCAGATAGATGCAAATGTCTCCTTTGCTCTCTCCCTGCCTCTGCAGCTAACCTCCTCTCCCATCTTCCCCAAAAGGAAAGGGGTGGCTTTTGTGCTCCACAACCGAGTGCTTGAAGCCCCTCTCTTCCCCGCTCCCCAGGAGGTGGACAGCGGAGATGACAGGAAGTCACCGGTGAGGAGACCCTCTCCGGCATGTGGCCACAGAGAATTGTGGCGGAGGGCGCTCCTTTTTCTGCCCTTCAAGGGTCCGGATGGGGGAGGGGGCTGGCTGTTGAGCAACTGCTCCGGAGACACTCCAGAAGCCGAGATGAACATATGCCTCTTTCTAACAATTGGCCTGGGAGCCATCCAATAGATGGAGGGCGGATCCGACACCTCCCGGATCCGGAGCCTGCAGCGGGGCTGCCGCCGCTGTTTCCAAACCCGCTGCCGAGAGGGGGCGGAGGGGGAGGGTAGGTCGGAGGTCCAAATCGGCAACACACAATTCGAAAGCCTAAGGGGTCGCTCACCTCAGGCCAACACCAAGACGGCTTGAGGGTGTATTTCACAGGCAAACTCTGTAGGGTTTTAGGGTTCCGACGGATCCCGCCTTTTATCGGAGGCAAACTGGGCACGATCCACGATCTCTGGGCAAAGTGAGAAATGGTTTGGGGGGGCGGGGTGTATGTGGTTGTTACTGGGGTTTGTGTTGAGGCAAGGTGAGGGGAAGGAATGGAGCCGCGCAAGGCAGCTTTTGGGGCCGGGGAAGGGGCTTAGCTGGCGACCAGAGCACGCCCTGAGCTTCCTCCAGGTGTTAAGGAAGGGCCTTGATCCGTCGCTCCGTTTGCTCCCCATCTTTATGTCAGTAAGCCGGTTAGTCCGTCAACAAACAGAACTTTGTTCAAAGAGCAAATGCAGGGCGCTCAGGGAAAAGGGGGTGGGGGAGGAGAGGAAGGAAGGAAGGAAGAAAAAAAAAAATGAAGGAAGAAAAAAAAGAAAAGACCTTTAGGTCTTCAAATCCAATTAAGAAGACAGAACACATACATAGTGAAAATGACTTCATGACATTCCCTCACCTCTTTTTTCTTATCGTCAGGACTTAAAAAAAAAAAAAAAAGAGAGCTTGTTCTATAAACAGTGTAAAATGAGTCGTTGCTGAAAGGGGCCAAAAAAGGGAGTTTGGTAGAGGGATAATCCTGGTGGCCTTCCTGTAAGAAGAGGCGAGACGGGAGCTTGTTGGCCACAAGGAACGTGAACTAAGGTGGACAGGACGTGGACCTCTTTCCCTGAAACATCTGTAAGACAGTATCCCAACCTGAGAAATATGCTCCAAAAGCAAAATGTTATTCCTGCTAGATGGGAATGATTATATAATCGTAATAACATAACCTGGCATCATGGGAAGGCAGAAGGAATCCCCCTCGGGCTCCGGGGCAAGCTCTTCGGACCCGGCTGCCGGTTCTTGGCTTTTCGGCGTGCCTCCTGAGCTGCACCTGGCCCCACGGTCCCGGTGGGCAGCATATCACCGCGTCGCATCCCGCCAGCCTCCTCCTGCCTGGGGTGACCACAAGAGTGAATCCCTCCAACCCAACCCCCGCTCGGGCCTTCGAGGGAAGCCGCCGCTGCCGGATAGGCCCTCCATGAGGCTCTGCCCGGAATCCGGGGACTTTAATGGGGAAAGGGACTCCCAGCCTCAGCCCTTCAACAAGATGGTGCGGCCCAAAGGGGGCAAACAGGCTCCGAGAAAGCCCTGCAGAAAACTCCAATCATGCCCCGCCGGCACCAGCCCCGTCCCGAGTGCGTCCCTCTCCCCCAGGCCATTCCCTGAGCCCCTCTGGCTCTCTCCGCGCCCCCCCCCCGCCCCCGTCCCCGTCCCCCGTCCCCAGCCCCCTGAAGCCCGCTCTGGCCACCCCGCAAGATTTAGGTCAGAAAAGAGACACTAACAGCTCTCCCTCGCCTCAGCGAAATTGCTAAGTGGAATTTATTGGGCAAGTCCATGCAGGGCGGTGGGGAGAGACCAGGTCCCGGGCACGGGCCCCCCCGCAGCTTTAGAAGCGCAGGCGTCGGCCTGAGGCTCAAGGCTCCGAGTGCCCACGGCCTGGGCCCGCCAGCCCTCCCCCCCACCCCCACCCCGGGAACCGCGGATGGTCCCCGGCGCTGCCGGACCCGCGGGGCCGCTCGGACTCCGTTCCCCAGCCGGCCCTTCGCTTTCACACGATCCGCGGTGACTGCACCAGCTTGAGCGCCTTTAAAGGGCCACACACGCCAGCCGCCGCTATAAAATGTTCCCAGCGGCACAGCTGCAGAAGGGGCACCGCTGAGCCGCCGAGAGGAGGCTCGCTCCGCCCGGCTGCCCGCCCGCAGCCCGCCTGCGGGGGGTCGTTCCCGGCGAGGAGGAAGGGGCTGAGGAAGGCGCAGCACCCGCTCTGGCCCTCGGTGAGTATCCAGTTCAGATTTTGCCATCAACTCGCCCACGAGCCAGGACATGTGCTAATAATGCCCTAAGCCGGTTATAAAGACGTGGAAATTGGGGGGAGAGGGGAAAAAAGGGGGGAAAGGGTCTGTCCTTCCTGGGATTCCTAGCCGAGTCCAGCCTGCTGCCGTATGCGTGTGCGTCAGGGCTCTCCGGGCGGCAATGGGGGCTTGAGAACCGGGTCCCCGGCGCCGGGA